CTCTGCGTCTTGAACCAACTCATCGCAGCATCCGAAGCTCATGACCATCATGTTTCAGAACATGTTCCCATCCCACCCTGCCAGTGGCACCATCGACTTGCGCCACTATGCCATCTCTGCTCGCCGCGTGGGTGGATGCTAAAGCCCCTCTTGTTCTCCGCTTCCCCTCCCCTCCACAACCACCCCTCCCATCCACCCCCCCCCCCCCCCCCTCCCCTGCACCAGGTGAAACTGTCAGACTGCAGGTGAGTCCTGCTGTTGACTCACGACCCTGCCAGTGGCACCATCACCATCGACCTGCATCACTACGCCATCTCTGCCCGCCCTGCAGGAGTGCCAAAGCCTCAAGCCCCTCTTGTTCTCTACTCACCCCTCCCCTTCACCAGGTGAAACTCTCTGATTGCAGGCAATTACTGCTTCTCAACCACGACCCTGCCAGTGACAAGCGCTGCCTCTCTGCCCGTGCCCGCCCCTCTGGGCATATTATGTTAAAGGCAAAAGCCCCTCTTGTTCTCCCTTTCACCTCTCCAGTCCACCAGGTGAGATTGTCTGATTGTCGGCGGGTGCTCCTCCTTCTCCATCACGACCCTGCCAGTGCTACTATCGACCTGCGCCACTACGGAGCTGACTCTTGAGTCGACTCATAAGTCAGTGGTACCATCGACCTGCGCCACTACGGAGCTGACTTTTGAGTCGACTCATAAGTCAGTGGTACCATCGACCTGCGCCACTACGGAGCTGACTTTTGAGTCGACTCATAAGTCAGTGGTACCATCGACCTGCGCCACTACGGAGCTGACTTTTGAGTCGACTCATAAGTCAGTGGTACCATCGACCTGCGCCACTACGGAGCTGACTTTTGAGTCGACTCATAAGTCAGTGGTACCATCGACCTGCGCCACTACGGAGCTGACTTTTGAGTCGACTCATAAGTCAGTGGTACCATCGACCTGCGCCACTACGGAGCTGACTTTTGAGTCGACTCATAAGTCAGTGGTACCATCGACCTGCGCCACTACGGAGCTGACTTTTGAGTCGACTCATAAGTCAGTGGTACCATCGACCTGCGCCACTACGGAGCTGACTTTTGAGTCGACTCATAAGTCAGTGGTACCATCGACCTGCGCCACTACGGAGCTGACTTTTGAGTCGACTCATAAGTCAGTGGTACCATCGACCTGCGCCACTACGGAGCTGACTTTTGAGTCGACTCATAAGTCAGTGGTACCATCGACCTGCGCCACTACGGAGCTGACTTTTGAGTCGACTCATAAGTCAGTGGTACCATCGACCTGCGCCACTACACCATCACAGCCCGTCCCATGGGAGTGTCAAAGCCGCTGCACCACCACGCACTGCCCATTCAACCCTCCCTTTCACCCTTCCTCTCCCTCCCTCCCCTTTACCAGGTGAAACTGTCTGATTGTCGGCGGGTGCTCCTTCTCAACCATGACCCTGCCAGTGGCACCATTGACATGCGTCATTATGCCATCACTGCGCGCCCTGTGGGGGTGTCGAAGCCGCTGCGCAATCTGGTGCACCACCACGCGCTGCCCAACCTCAGCCACTTGTCCGACATTAGTGAACTCGTTACTAGGTAAGAGCTCGTTGCAAGGTAAAATCTCGTTATAAGGTAAGGAGGAGTGTCGAAGCCGCTGCGCAATCTGGTGCACCACCACGCGCTGGCCAGCCTCATCCACCACCTCTCTGACATTAGTGAACTCGTTACAAGGTAAGAGCTCATTACAAAGTGAACATTGGTGATAAGTTTTGTCAGGACATGGGGCGGGCCGTGCGGGCGGCGCAGCAGCACATGTGTTTGTTGTGCTAACTCTCACTACCCCTCTACCGGCTCTACCCACACAGGCCGGCAGCTTACCCATCAGACAGCGAGGCGGATGAGGGCAGCAGGGTGCAGGCGCCCCAGGACATGGGGCGGGGCGTGCGGGCGGCACAGCAGAGCCAGGTGAAGCTGCACGAGCTGGGGCCACGTGTCACTCTGCTACTGGTCAAGGTGGAGGAGGGGCTGTCCAACGGTGCTGTCATGTACCACCGATTCGGTGAGCGGGGGGGGGGGGGGGGGGGAGGTGTGGGGTGTAAGGTTGGGAATATGGGGAGGAGGGTTGGGAGAGAAAGGGGGGGGGACTGGGGGAAAAGGGTATGCCTCGGTTGGTCGAGGTGGAGGAGGGGCAGAGGGGAGAGAGAGGGGCGAGAGAGGGGAGAGAAGAGGGGAGCGAGAGGGGAGAGAGGGGAGAGAGAGGGGAGAGAGAGGGGAGAGGGGGGAGAGAGAGGGGAGAGAGGGGGGAGAGAGGGGAGAGAGAGGGGAGAGAGGGGAGAGAGAGGGGAGAGAGGGGGGAGAGAGGGGAGAGAGAGGAGAGAGAGGGGAGAGGGGGGAGAGAGGGGAGAGAGGGGAGAGAGAGGGGAGAGAGGGGAAAGAGAGGAGCAGAGGGGAGCAGAGGGGCAGCACTGTCTGTGCTCATTTCCTCCATGTCTTGCTGTCCTTCCCCCTCTCCTTCCCCCTCTCCTTCCCCCCCTCCTTCCCCCCCTCCTTCCCCCCCTCCTTCCCCCCCTCCTTCCCCCTCTCCTTCCCCCCCTCCAGTTGAAAAGACAGCAGAGGAGGAGGCGGAGTTGCAGCGAAGGGCTGAGGAGCGGCAGAGGGAGAAGAAGAGGCGGAAAGAGGAGCAGGAGGCAAACGTGCGGAGGAAGAAAATGTGAGTGGGGAGAGCCCGAGGGGAGGGGGGAGAGGGCAGGGAGGGGCAAGGAGGGAAGGGGCAGGGCAGGAAGAGGGGAGGGGACAGGAATGGAGGTGTAGGGTGGGGTTAAAGTCGGACCAGGGAGATGAATGGGGGAGCAGGAGGCGGACGTGGGGAAGAAGAAGACGTGAGTGGTGGGATGTAGAGGAGGGGGGTGGTGCAGGGTAGGGTGCAGCGGATTTAGAGGCGGAAAACGTCTTAGGTTCCTGTGTTTCCTCACACCTCTCCACCCCTTGTTCTTATGACCAGGCTCCAGGCATCGAAAGTCAAGGCAGGTGGAAGTGAGGACGGGAAGCAGGATTGTCGGGATATAAGAGAAAGAAAATAATCTAAACTCAACATCATTTTTCTCCACCCTTCTCCACCCTTCTCCACCCCCTGTTCCTACCACCAGGCTCAAGGCATCCAAGGGCAAGGCGGAGGACAGCGATGGGGAGGAAGAGGAAGGGAAGGCGGTGGGGGCGAGGGAGGGCGAGGGGGAGGAGGAGGAGGAGGATGACGTGGACTGGTACCGCAAGGAGGTTGGGGAGGAGCCCGATGACAGTGAGTGATCCCCGTGGGGAACTTTGTATGTAGGGGTGAACATGTTCTTTGTATCGCAAGTCCATTGTCTTCCTCGCTCTGCTGCTCCCACGCTCCAACCTCACACGGAGGAGGATGATGTGGACTGGTACCACAAGGAGGTTGGGGAGGAACCCGACGACAGTGAGTGCTGCTCCTGCTGCCCTGTACTGTCTCACCTGCTGCCCTGCGTTTACTCAAGTTCTGATTTTAAGTTGACGATTTTGTTCATTCTGGCTCTCTAATACGCTCTAGCTCACAAGCTTTCCAGGCTCTTTCAAATTTTCATTTCATGGAGTTTGCTTCGTTGTCCTAAGATACAGTTTAAGTTGATGGACATAAGACCTCCGCAGCCCACCTGTTTAACACTGACATCCCTGTACTGTCTCACCTGCTGCCTCTACCGTCTCACCTGCTGCCTCTACCGTCTCACCTGCTGCCTGTACCGCCTCACCTGCTGCCTCTACCGCCTCTCCTGCTGCCTCTACCGTCTCACCTGCTGCCTCTACCGCCTCTCATGCTTCTCGGCAATGTATATTTTCTTACCTCTGCTTTCTTTGTTAGTCATGACGGATTGCTCGCTACGATCGTATTTGTCGCGGCATACACTCTTGAAAGTCCACTGTGGCAAAAGCACTCAGTGGCAAACAAGTGCATGTCAACAGGCCACCAAACATACTCGCTCTTGCTCTTCAGCCCACCCCTCCCCGCCCTCCCTCTCCCTCCCTCTCCCAGCCTTTGTCAGAGGTGGTTATGAGGGCAGTAGAGGAGGATGAGAAAGGCTTTGCATTCACATATTCACATCTCCTGTCATTACCATGTTGTGAACTCTCCTCTCAATACTCACTCTTGCTCTTTTAACCATTCCTCCCCGCACTCACTCTCCCTCTACCAGCCTTTGTCGGGGGCGGATATGAAGGCAGTAGGGGGAGAGGCTTTGGGCGCGGCAGAGGGGGGGGAAGGGGTAGGGGGAGGGGAAGGGGGAGGGGTCGTGAGGGAGGCGGTAGAGGGGGGGAAGCAGGTGGAAGAGGGGGAGGGAGTGGGAGACGAGGGGGGCGAGGGGGAGGTGGGCGTGGGGGGCGGTCACCATCAGGGCGTGGAGGAGGGAGGGGAGGACGAGGAGGGATGAGGGGTAGGGGAAGGTAGATGGGAATGGTGTGGGAAGAAAATAGTTTACTAAGAATAGCACATGTCTGCGAGGGTCCTTCCTGAATCCCGATAAAGTAGCTCTCTTGTTGTGCAGCTTTAGGATTATGTAATAACACAGTTTGTTCATGCACAGCAAATTATTGTGGTGGTCACAAATCAGATGTATTCCTGAATAAAGCCCAAATTTGAAAAGACAATACTTTTCCAATGACATGGATAACCGAATTCAGCATGGGACTGAGAATCACCGCGTCCCACCGAACCGGACCACGGAGATAGCTCAGTTGGGAGGATAACATTAACCAACGAGTCGCACCCCTCCACTATTATTACCTTCGTACTCCCGCCTGCTTCGGCGGTTCTGCTTAGTGACTCTTACAACCACTCTTATCCCTAACTTCTCACTACAACCACTCCCGCGTCCTCATTGCGCGCTGATCAAGTGGCAAAAACTAGCTTATGCTTTGTGCTTGCGTTTGCGTCGTCCCACCCTGACTGATGAATTAGGTTTTGATGCGTTTTGAAGAAATATTTGCATCAGACTGCGTTGTCTCCTCCCTCCACCTTATCCGTTACCTCCGAATCCTCGGCAGTCACAATCGGATCTGGCGATTGGAGGTCGGTTCGGCAGACCGGACACGTGGTCCTCGTGGCGAGCCAATGGTCGATGCACGCCACGTGGAACTGATGCTTGCATGGCGGAAGGATCCTGATCAGCTCCCCCTTGTTAAAATCGCTCAGACACACTGTACATTCCGTGCTTGATAACAGCCTCTTCCGTGTAGACAACTCACCCACTAGAATTTCTGGTGTTGCGGAAAACTTAGCAGCATCGGCGTCTGAAGTTACAAATCTTGCTGTAGCAGCTGCAGCTGTGTTAATTCCCTGCGTATCCTTCTCGCCATTTCCCTCGCTTTTCTCGCCAATGGTGAGATCTCCTGCAATAGCGGGGAAAAGGCAGTACGACCACACGGGGAACGTCGCGATTCGCTCTGCGTCCAGTCCGGCCGGTGCTTGCGGAACAGCCGCACCGCTGTTAGTACCCGGCGACGGCGACGACGCGTCTTCCCTCGCTTGGCGACCAGCGGCACGTCGCAGAATGTATACAATCCACGAGTAGTAGCGATCTGCGAATACCACAAGAGAGAGAACCACAATAATGGCCAAGACGCAACCTATCACGAGGCAGTACGTAAGCGCGTTTCCACCCCCCGCCACTGCTCCCGCTGCGCCCACTGCGCCCGCCGGCGCTGCCACTGGCGGTACTACCACTGGAACCGCTTCTGTGGCAGATAGCGGTCTTCGATCCGACAGCTCGGCTTGCCGCTGCGGGGAACGCGGATCGACGCGTGGCGGAGACGAGCCGCGGGGACCCGGCGGAGGCAAGGGAAGCGCGGCCGGAGAAGCCATGACTAGGTGAAGTTGAGTGTCGCAGGGGCTCTCGATCACCCTTGGAGAATGGACTCGAGCTGTACAGTAGCTTTGAAGACACCGTTGGTATTATGAACCGTCATTTTTGTCCGACGGTTTATATTTTCCCTTGATAGGTGTTATCCAGCATAGGTGTTCTGGGCCAGAACTTCCGGCGAGCCCATGTTATCCAGTGCAGTGCACGGGAAGAATTGCAACCAATGCAAGCACATGCCAGTATCCAGCTGACCTGTCAGAGAAGCACGACGTTCAGGTTGAATGTCAGTCAAGTACTGTACTCATGTCTCTAGAATTCTCGTCTCGAGGCCATAGATTCCACTCGAGCACCAAGTACAGCAAAGGTAACACACGTGTGAAAAAAGTCGGCAGTTCTGTTCCTTACCTCGGAAAAAATAGTGTCCAGTACACATCAAGCCGACGAACTGCTGAGTCTGGAGGCACACTGCACAGTCTAGTGGTTGGGATAAGGACAAACTACTAGACTTGGAAGTGTCACCGATTTGTTTTCCATTTCTGCTCAAAACCTTTGCAACTGTAGAAGGGTGTGACAGGAGGAGTTGGCGTTTCCATTGCAGTGGGCGTACTAGTGCGCGCATCTTCGGCTTGACGAGGAACCCCATTTGAAAAAGGGCAGGATGAATGTGGTGCCTGGGGGGGAAATGGAAACGAAGGTCGTCGAAGCGAAGGTTACTAGGGATTCAGTTCGGTTAAATTGGGTTGAATTGGGTGTTCGGCTCGAGGCTAAAATGGAACCTCCATCAAATAAGCAAAATAATACCTACTGATGTGAGATAAGGCAGGAACAAACATTAAAAAAACCTACTGTTATGCAATTAACTCTGCAGGGCTAGAGCCGAGGTTGGGATGGGATGGGAATGGGGCAGCTAAGCAGCTATACCAGATGGACGCAGGGAACCTAAGTAGCATGCCCTGATTACTGACTGTGAGGGTCGAATGTGGTTTGTTTATTGGAGTTGTCTATTATGGGAAGAGGGAGAGTGGGAGGTGACCCACTTGCCGGCGACCGAGCTGTGTGGGGAGGAAGGGAGAGTGAGGGTAAGGGAGAGAGGCAAGAGAGGGCTGTATGAGTATGTGAGGCCTGTATGAGTATGTGAATTGTCAGTTGACACTGTGGTGGGGAGGGTGTTGGGGGGGTATAGGGGGAGTGCAGCATGAGAGGGCTGCATGAGTGTAGGGATTGTAGCCTGACGCTGCAGTCTATTACGGGAAGAGAGAGAGTGGGAGGTGTCCCACTTGCCTGCGCCCAAGCTGTGCGGAAGGAGGGCGAGTGAGGGTAGAGGAGGGAGCAGAGGGCTGCATGAGTGTAGGGATTGTAGCCTGACGCTGCAGTCTCTTACGGGAAGAGGGAGAGTGGGAGGTGTCCCACTTGCTGTGCGGAGAGAAGGGGGAGAGGGGGAAGAGGGAGAGAGCGGCACGAGAGGGCTGCACGCATGCACATTGGACTTGTCCGATGAATCGGTGGTTGCTACAGGAAGAACGCGAGTGAGAGGTGACCCACTTACGTGCAACCGAGCTGTGTGGGGAGGGCAGCGATTGAGGGTAGAGAGAGGGAGCTAAATGAGAACAATGATCACAAGAGTGGTAATGGTAGTGTAATTAATAGTAGGAATTGATTGATTGTCGTAGGATAAGACTTGGTGCTGAAGAGTGGACAGGCAGAGAGGGAGGGGAGGAAGGCCACAGCAAGTAATCAGCAATGGCATGAGAGTGGACGGATTGAAAGGGTGTGGGTGGGGAGTGGGGAAGAGAAAACGGAAGGAAGTGCAGGGATAGTGGGGATCAAATGACTGGTGGAAACGGAATGGATGGACTAGCAGTGAGTGGGAAAGGGTAGAAAGAAGGAGAGTTGATGTGTAACCCAACGGGTGGGGAGGGCAGAGAGACAGAGAGAATCGAATCTAGAGAAAGTGGAATCGAGGGGGATAAGGTCCGATCTTGGGATGTTCTTTAGTGTAGGGCCACTAAAAGTGTAGGGCCCCTAAGGAAACAAGTTAGCAGTTTCAAAATGAGGGCGGATGCGAATTTGTGAAACATGTAGGGGGATGGGGGAGTGTAGAATGGGGGTGGTTAAGAGGGCACGGAAGAATTAGAAAGAAGCACAGAAAAGGAAGGTGTAGCTGATCATTAGGCGGGCAAAACTGGAGGTAATCGTTTGAGGCAAATCAAGGGTTTAAGGCTCTGAGCTCTGGCAATTTGTGGATACCTAAGCGAAGGTAATACGTGAATACCTAAGCGAAGGTAATTCGTGAATACCTAAGCGAAGGTAATTCGTGAATACCTAAGCGAAGGTAATTCGTGAATACCTAAGCGAAGGTAATTCGTGAATACCTAAGCGAAGGTAATTCGTGAATACCTAAGCGAAGGTAATACGTGAATACCTAAGCGAAGGTAATTCGTGAATACCTAAGCGAAGGTAATTCGTGAAGACCTAAGCGAAGGTAATACGTGAATACCTAAGGGAAGGTAATTCGTGAATACCTAAGCGAAGGTAATTCGTGAATACCTAAGCGAAGGTAATTCGTGAATACCTAAGCGAAGATAATTCGTGAATACCTAAGCGAAGGTAATTCGTGAATACCTAAGCGAAGGTAATTCGTGAATACCGTGGTATCTGGACTCTGGCATGTGGTGGATGGTACAATACTCACACTCTCCCCCCCCTCAAACACACACGCATACCCACCCACCCACACACTCCCACACCACACCCACACACACACACCCCTCCCCCTCCCCCCACACACACACTCATCACACCTGAACAATCACTCCTCGGAACGTCCCGGTCTGGTATGGCGACACTTGGCATGTCTGGACGGCACCCATCCATGGGTAAAAGGAGTAATTGGGGGGGGGGGGAGGGGAGGAGAGTTGCACAAAGTGAGCAACGGAGGGAACACCTGAAAAATCACTCCTCGAAAAGTTCCGGTCTGGTATGGCGAGAGTTGGCACGTCTGCTCATCAACCATAGTGGTAACAGAGTAATGGGGGCGGGTGGGAATAGAGAGGCACAAAGTGAGCAACAGAGTGCAACCCTGAAGATGACTCCTCGAAAGGTCCCTGTCTGGTATGGTGAGACTTGGCACGCCTGTATAGGACGCATGGGAGAAGCGAGTAACAGAGGGTGGAGGAGAGTGGCCATAACAGTTTTTAGGCGCCTCGAAAATAGACCAGTCAGCACGGGAGCTGCAGTGTAAAGATCGTAGCAACTCATGGGTGGAGTGGGGGAGAAACACAATTGCACCGACTGACATCTTTCCTTACAATCACGTCAAGTCAACACACCTTCTGTGCCTGGTTAGAGAGAAAAAAAACCAGCAATTTACGTATGCTTGCCTAGTGACTTATGAGTCGACTCGATAGTCACCTGCAACACTGTATGCGAACACTGTATGCGTACACTGTATGCGAACACTGTATGCGTACACTGTATGCGAACACTGTATGCGTACACTGTATGCGAACACTGTATGCGAACACTGTATGCGAACACTGTATGCGAACACTGTATGCGTACACTGTATGCGAACACTGTATGCGTACACTGTATGCGATCACTGTATGCGTACACTGTATGCGTACACTGTATGCGTACACTGTATGCGAACACTGTATGCGTACACTGTATGCGTACACTGTATGCGTACACTGTATGCGTACACTGTATGCGTACACTGTATGCGAACACTGTATGCGAACACTGTATGCGTACACTGTATGCGTACACTGTATGCGTACACTGTATGCGTACACTGTATGCGTACACTGTATGCGTACACTGTATGCGTACACTGTATGCGTACACTGTATGCGTACACTGTATGCGTACACTGTATGCGTACACTGTATGCGTACACTGTATGCGTACACTGTATGCGTACACTGTATGCGTACACTGTATGCGTACACTGTATGCGTACACTGTATGCGTACACTGTATGCGTACACTGTATGCGAACACTGTCTCGACGAATGCTTTGTGTAGCATTGATGATTGTATTATGAAAATTTCTGCACACTCCTTGGAGTTACTGTTGAACATGATGTAAGCAGGCCCCACCACCTCCTTGGCGTGCTTGGCTTGTTGCAGTGAGCAGCCATGCTTGACTTTAAGTACCTTAGTCAGCTGAACACACTTGAGGCCGCACCTTGGAGTTGCTGTTGAACTTGATGTATGCGAACCCCACCACCTCCTTGGCGTGCTTGGCTTGTTGCAGTGAGCAGCATCAGTAAGGTACCTTCGAGTCAGCTGAACACCACGTAAGGTCCCATTGTGACATGTGTCAAATCGAATGTCACCTTGGAGTTGCTGTTGAACTTTATGTAAGCAGGCCCCACCACCTCCTTGGCGTGCTTGGCTTGTTGCAGTGAGCAGCCATGCTTGACTTTAAGTACCTTAGTCAACTGAACACACTTGAGGCCGCACCTTGGAGTTGCTGTTGAACTTGATGTATGCGAACCCCACCACCTCCTTGGCGTGCTTGGCTTGTTGCAGTGAGCAGCATCAGTAAGGTACCTTCGAGTCAGCTGAACACCACGTAAGGTCCCATTGTGACATGTGTCAAATCGAATGTCACCTTGGAGTTGCTGTTGAACTTTATGTAAGCAGGCCCCACCACCTCCTTGGCGTGCTTGGCTTGCCACTCCACCAGAAGCCCCCCCGGTTGATCCAACAGAGCCTGCTTGGTTCATACAAGTGGCAGTTGAGAGGTACGAGTGAAGTAAAGGGGTTGGAAGGCCGGACGACTAGTTGGTTTCAAAGCCTTCACTAAACCCACCACCTGCTTGGCATGCTTGGCCTGCCACGCCACCAGGAACCCCCCAGGTTGATCCAATAGAGCCTGCCTAGTTTGATTCAATAGCAGTTGAGAGAGGTACGGAAGGGTGGAAAGGGGATTGAAGGGATGAGTGAGTGGTTGTTGAGAAATCTCCAAACACCACCACCTCCTTGGGGTGTTTGGCTTGCCGTACCACCAGCACCAGCAACCCCCCGGGCAGACCCAACAGAGCCTGCTTGGTTCAAACAAGTAGCAGCCGGGAGTTACGGAACGACGATGGCAAAAGGATAGGGTTGGGCCTGGAGTGAGAGGCAGAGATGGTGCTGTTACTTGGCAGGCAGGGAGGGATTGAAGTACGAGGGTGGTGTGGCGTGTGGGAGAATGGAACAGAGGGACGCAGGCAGTGAAGTGAAGCAAATTAGGGAGGCACGTTAGGTTAGGGTTCATTCATGCTGTCGTGCGTATGGAAATCCCGATTCACGCCACTGAGAGTTATTTGAGGCGCATCATAAAAAGAATCATAAATAGAGTCATAAAAATATATCCTGGACTGCATGATGGCACTCGCAGGGTCACTGTTACTGCAGCCAAAAGCAAGTACATACTGACCAAGAAACTGTTTTTCTGTGAAACACGGAGCATCCTTTTACACTGCCTTGCCAATGCCAATGAGCAACAATGTGCCAACGCATGCGCATACTTGCACATCCTGGCTCAGATACAGGGTAACATGGTTACCATCACTCACAGGTTCAGGTCAGCCAAGGGTGACCAGGTACGGGCTGAGATAGGCGAAGCTTAACAGGGTAACAGCCGTAACAGCAGCAACGGCACTCACAGGGTCAGCACAGCCAGCCAAGGGCGAGTAGGTACTGGCGGAGAGAGGCGAAGCCCTCCTCCACAGTTCCTTGTGCTCACAGAGTAGCAGGGTAACCAACACTCACAGGGTAACAGGATAATCAGCACTCACAGGGTAACAGGGTAACCAGCACCTTATGGGGTAACAGGGTAACCGGCACTCACAGGGTTAACAAGGAACCAGCACTCACAGGGTTAACAGGGTAACCAGCATTTATAGGGTGAGCACAGCACAACCAAACCAAGGACGACCAGGTAAGGTACTGTACTGGCGGAGGGGAGCAACGCCTTGTTCTAATCCATGCCTTGCGAATTGAAAACAATGTGCTGCCGCGTGTGTATACTTGTGGGTCGTTGACTCAGTAACAACAGGGTAACAGGGTAATGGGGTAACCGGCACTCACGGGGTCAGCACAGCCGAGGGCCAGCAGGTACTGGCGGAGGGCGGCAAAGCCCTCCTCCACACTGCCGCAGCAGATGCCAAGCAGCGGGCGGGCGGTTTCGTCTCGTAGTGCGGCCTTGGCGGCTAGCAGCAGAGAGGCCTTGAGGGCGGCAACGCCCCCTGGGGTTGCCAGGGAGACCTACGGAGGGAGGGAAAGTAACAAGTGATAGAGGGAGGTTAAGCAGGCGGAAGCAATGTCCTTCGAGAGCAGCAGAGAGCAGCAGAGAGGCCTTGAGGGCGACCTGGACTGGAAGGGGGAGCAGGGGGGTGGATAGGGGAGGAAGGGAAGCAGGGGTGAACATTGTGCTTTCAGAGGCTTGACAGCAGAGGCTTGACAGCAGAGGCTTGACAGCAGAGGCTTGACAGCAGAGGCTTGAGGCTCAAGGGCCGCAATGCACCCTTGAGGTTGCTTGCCAGGGAGAATCAGGTAGGGAGGGAGGGAAGCAGGAGGGTGGGTAGGGAGGGAAGGGAAGGAGGGGAGGGGCAATGTTGTTCGTCGAAAGGCTTGAGAGCAGCGGAGGAAAGGACTCTAGGGCCGCAATGCACCCTGGGGTTGCGAGAGAGACCTGGATAGGGGGTGGGGGAGAAGGGGGATGAGCGTGAATATGTATAGAAGGGAAGCGGAGGGGTGTGGTTGACAAGAAGGCTTGAGAGCAGCATTGAGGCCTTATGGGCGGAAATGCCCTCTGGGGTTGCCAGGGAAACCTGGATAGGGAGGGAAGGGAAGAAGTGGGGCGGGTGGGGAGGGGATGTGACTCGAAAGCCTTGGGAGCAGAAAACAAGGCTCGCGGACGGCAACGGCGCCTGTGGTTGACAGGGACACCTGGCTGGGGAGTGAAGGCAAGCAGGGGATGGATAAGAAAGGGCTCTGAGAGCCCTGAGGCTGAGGGTGGTGTGTGAATGCAGAGCAGAGAGAAGGCTCGAGAGCTGGAGCAATGCCCCCTGAAGTTGCCGAAGGCATTTGATTGGGGAATGTGAAGGCAAAGGGGGTGGATACGGAGAGCTCTGAGAGCCCCCCAGGGCTGGAGAGCCCCCTGAGGCTGGGGGTGAGGTGTGAATGCAGAGACCATTTTTGAGACGCCTCAAGGAGAAGGAGAGCTCTGAGAGCCCTGATGCTGGGGGTGATGTGTGAATGCAGAGCAGAGAGAAGGCTCGAGAGCTGGAATGCCCCTAGGGATGCCTGAATAGAGAGGGAAGAAGGGGGTGGGTGGCAACTGGGATGGAGTGGGCGGCAATGGGGATGGGGTGGGCGGCAATGGGGGTGGAGTGGGCGGCAACGGGGATGGGGTGGGTGGCAATGGGGGATGGGTTGGGACAGGGACGGTGGGGACTCGATCATAGCCGTTTGTGCGGGTCCCTTGGCGCGCCTCCCTGCGGCTCGCTGCACACATCTAAGCCTACCTGCGGTTCGCCGCGCACGTCTCGTCGGTTAAAGTCGTCCAGAATCTCCCACGCCGCCGCCTCCACCGCTGCAGCATCCGCTTCACTCACATCCGCTTCAGTCACATCTGCAGAGGCTGCGGGTCCGTCGGCTGCTGCCGCTGCGATCAATCGCGTTGATCCTCTCCGTTCCTCGCGGACGAGTCTAAACGGCGCTAAACTAGTAACGGTCCGCTTTCGCGACGCCTCGTATACGCGACGCGCGGCTTTATTCGTGCAAATATGAGCCACTTTAGTACTATTATTGATGACAGAAACGCACGCGACGCCGACCGCCGTGGCGTATGCTGGGGCCGCAAGAGCGGCGCGACTTGTCATGGCGCCGCCGGATGCGGCTGCGCCGCCTATTTGACGGTTTCGGACGGACGGCGACGATACGGCCGCCGGCGAGCGAAACTGCGTCAAGCAGGCATTGTTGACGGACGAAGGGAGTGCTGTCGCGTCCATGGCTGGTGCAAGTTTTGCTGCTTCTTAGCTTGAATGTCAGCTTTGAGAATATGGCGGTGCGAGGTTGGGCGCAGGTTTGCGGCGTTGGTGACACGGAGGGATGACACATGATTGAAACAAACAAAACTTGGAAGTGTGCAGGCTGGCCCAGGCAGTGTTCACTTGTCCCATATTTTGACTTGGAGTCCTGGGATTTTGAAACCGTCAGATTGTTGGCGAAAGCGAAACCCTAAGTTGTTACCAGCAGTCGCATGTGGATGGCGCGACACCGCTCACCCAATTCATTTCGCGCTTCGTGCTGACGAAACGGATGCTCGCACCCATCGCCCTTGAACACTCTCTGTCCTTTTGGTTCATGTGTGTTTGTAGAAAGGAATGACTCGAGCAGCGCCGACTTGAGCGCGTGTAATTTTAGGGTTTGCTTCTTTGATTGTTGTGTCCGCCTTTTGCGCTAGTCGCCATCGTTGATTACCATACTCACTGCTGTTTCGGTGACGCAAACTTCGTTGCGACGCGCATTTGCTGCGACGCTTCCCTGCGACGCACGTTTCCCCGCGACGAGAAATTCAGCGATCCCGTCGTGCGACACCATGCCGGTGCAGCAGAAGCGGCAGTTTCGGAAGCGGAAAGCGCTCGAGGAGGAGGACGGGGATGGCGGAGGGGAGCAGGAGGAGCAGAAAGACGTACGGTACGCGCTATACCGTCTTTCGTCCCTCGTTACAGTTAACCGCACATAGTTTTGGCAGAGTTCAGATTGACCGAAGCGCTAGTGGCAGCGAGAGGCGGGAGATGGCGGAGGAGAGCCCGAGGAGCAGTAAGGACGTCCGATTCGCACTAGACCGCCTTTCTTGCGTCGTTACGGTCAACCGCACGTAGGTTTGGCAGCACTCACATTAACCGTAGCACTGGTGGCAGCGAGAGGACGGGGATGGCGGAGGGGAGCCCGAGGAGCAGAAGGACGTCCGGTACGCGCTAGACTGTCTTTCGTTCCTCGTTACGGTTATTCGTATCTAGGTTCGACAGCGCTTACATTGACCGTAGCACTGGTAGCAACGAGAAGAGAGGGATGGCGGAGGGGACCCCGAGGAGCAGACGGACGTACAGTATGCGCTGTACCGAGTTTTCCTCCGTACCTAGCTTTTATCGTATCTAGCTTTGGCCGTACCTAGGTTCGGCCGTACCTAGGGTTGAACGTATCTAGGTTTTACCGAGCCTGATTCGGTCAAACCTATTCTTCACCAAACCTATGTCGGGCCGTCGACCGTTCGATGCAACGAGCTGCAAAGACGCGTCATTTCGTCCCTCAGTGCCGCTCCCCTTGCCCCGAGTCGTCCGCCGCTCAGATTACCCGCGCTCTCGTTTATCCACGCGTGCGAGGGCGTCGTGTCGCGCCATCTGCTTCGCCCGTCGCTTCATCCGCCTGCTCCGCTCCACCGTTGCACTCACACGCATCCCCTCCCTGGTCCCCCATCCCCTCCCTGGTCCCCCATCCCCTCCCTGGTCCCCCATACCCTCCCTGGTCCCCCATCCCCTCCCTGGTCCCCCATCCCCTCCCTGGTCCCCCATCCCCTCCCTGGTCCCCCATCCCCTCCCTGGTCCCCCATCCCCTCCCTGGTCCCCCATCCCCTCCCTGGTCCCCCATCCCGCTTCTTACTCCTTTTCCTCTCGCCCTTCCCCTTTTCCTCTCGCCCTTCCCCTTTTCCTCTCGCCCTTCCCCTTTTCCTCTCGCCCTTCCCCTTTTTGTACGTATTCCACAGCTCCACGTTAGAGGAAGTCCGTCTGCTGCAGCAGCAGCGCTCGCGCCTCAACTCCACAGCTCCTTCCCCCTTCCCTCCCCCCCCTCCTCTCCCTCCCCACCTCCCCCATCTTTCCTCCCTGCAGCCCCGCGCTAGAGGAAGTCCGCCTGCTGCAGCAGCAGCGCGCGCGCCTGTCCTCATGTTGACCACACAATGTGTTCTGCAAACACCCCCTTACCGCTCCCAACCCGTTTCCATCTCCCCAGGTCCGCCCTAGAGGAAGTGCGCCTGCTGCAGCAGCAGCGTGTGCGCCTTAAGGGGATTGCAGCAGACGGGGCGCTCACAGGCGCAGAAGGGGCGGAGGGGAAGGGGGGAGGCGCGGGGGCGCAGGGGGAGGCGGGGGAAGAAGGGGAAGGAGGGGAAGAGCTGGTTCTGCAGGACACGTTTGCGCAGGAGACGGCGATTACTGTAGAAGATCCGAACATGTACGTGACTGTAACGAGATGGGACCGTAACGAGATGGAACTGTAACGAGATGGGAGTGTAACTGTACGAGGAAACAAGAGGAAAACAATCAGCATTAAGGTTCTACCTAGCATCGATCGAATTTGGAAAGCCGTCACTGCCTCCCCAAAAGTGCGCACTGTTTCCCCTTCCTTGTTATGTTTCTAGCTCCCCCTGCGTGCCCAAGTGCGCGCCCTCTCCTCTGCCCCAGGCTCAAGTACATTGAGGGAAGGGCTTAAAATACAATTCCAAATTCGAACCTCTCACTCGCCCCACCCCACCCATGCTCTGACCGCCCGAACCCTCGTTATTGCCCAAGCGTTTGTTCCTTCCTCCGCCCCATGTTCACAAGTGCATTGAGGAGGAGCTGGTAACGTGCACAGGGGGTGTTGAGGCCCATGCCCTGATCGCTCATGCCCTCCTTCCCTCCCCCTTCCCGCTCCTCCCTCTCTGCTCCCCCTTCCCAGGCTCAAGTGCATTGAGGAGGAGCTGGCAAAGCGCCGAGGGGGAGCTGAGTTGAGCCACATGCCCCAGTCGTGCATGCCCCATGCCCCATGCCCCATGCCCCATGCCTCATGCCCCTCCTGTGACCTGTCCCTCCACACTGGTCCCCCCCCCCAGGCTCAAGTACATCGAGGAGGAGCTGGCGAAGCGCCGAGGGGATGTTGCGTTAAGCTCGATGCCCTGACCCTCATGCCCCATGCCCCCCCTCCCCCTCTCCCCACTTCCTGGTTCCCTTTTCCCCCCCGCCCGCCCCTCTGCCCCTTCCCCCCCCCTCAGGCTCAAGTACATTGAAGAGGAGCTGGCAAAGCGCCGAGGGGGAGGGGCGGGGGCAGCGGGGGGCAGCAGGGGGGAGGGGGAGGGGGAGGATGAAGTGTTGCGTGCTGAAGACAAGCTGTACGAGATTCCACAGCACTTGCAGGTGATTATAACAATGTTACTAGTTAGCAGGTGATTATAGCGAATGCTCACTGCAGCATCTGGCGGTCATTACTTTCTTTCGCAACCGCATGTGCGGCAGGCGGTCATTACTTTCTTTACTGCCTATATGATGTTTCCCCGGGCAGGCGTATAAAGGCATCTCACTGTAGTTGGGGATGCTGCTGGTGTAGTGGCTGCAAGAAACGTTTAACTTCTGAGGCGCTTTTAAAAAATGACTGTAAGAATCGTCAGTGCAGAGCAAGCAACCTGCAACCACTCACTTTCCAACCCAGCTGCTCAGCAAAGAAACATGAGAGACAAGAGAGCATCCATGAAACAAAGGTTTTTGAAAATCAACACTTTTTTCGCGCTCCGTCCCTGCACTCTATCCTAGCAGGTGCGGAAGCTGGAAGGGGGGTGGGTCAATCTTTTAGTTGACTCAGTGGTTTCGATCTGTTCCCACTTAATCCTGTCAGATAGACTCCCAGATTGGATTCATGACTTTTTTAGCTCACAAATCCTATCAGGTTGGGAAGCTGGAGGAGGTGGGACGGAACAGCAAGGACCATCGGCAGCAATCTTTGCTGATGCTTTTCCCCCCCTCCCGATCTTCTTCCTTCCTCTGTTTTGCTGTGCAGGTGGGAAAGCTGGAGGGGGAGGAGGGTGGAACCGCGTGGACGACGGGCATTGCGGAGGTGCAGCTCCCTATTGAGTGAGTTGGGAGAAGGATTGAAGAGGAAGATTGAGCAGAGAGATGCACTGGTTGGGAGCAAGGGGCGTGTTGTCATGAGAGAGGGAGGGGCGTGGCACAGCATGGGCGACGGGTATTGCGGGGGTGCAGCTCCCTATCGAGTGAGTTGGGAGATGTGTTGGGAGCAAGTGGCGAGGTGATTTGAGTTGCGAGTGAGGTGCAGTCAGAGAGAGAGAGAGAGAGATTGCAGCCGTGGAGGGTGGCACAACCGAACAGCAGGGTTGATGGGCATCAAAGGTGCAGCTGCACCATCAAGAGTGAGATGGGAGGGGGATTGATTGAACGATGCGTTGGGCACAAGTGGCGAGGTGAGTGTTGAGAGGGAGTTGCACAGAAAACAACGCAGGAGGGAAGAGCAGTGTGGAAGCTTGGAAGTCGCTCCCAAGGGAGTACCACAACGTGCGTGTTGTGAACACAATGTTTAGCACCGCAAACCCTCCCAACCTTCCTGCTACAAGCTTAACTGGGACTTATTCAGTCCGTTTCCCTTCCTTCCCCCTTCCCCATTCCTCATCCCTGTCCCATCCCAGCTACAAGCTGGGCAACATTGAAGCCACGGAGGAGGCCAAGCGCATGCTGCATCATCTTACCACGACCCCCTCTCTCTCCTTTCTTCCCTCTCCCGTCTTCTCCTCTTCCCCTCGCCCTTCCTCCCAGCTACAAGCTGGGCAACATCGAGGCCACGGAGGAGGCCAAGCGCATGATGCAGGAGAGACGGCCGTGGATGAACCGCCCGCGGTATGGCTTGTTTCTCTGCTGGGGAGAGAGAAGGAAAGAGGGTTGGTTGCATGGGGCTGTTAAGGCCAGTGCGTTGACATGGGTGCATGCTGCAGGAGAGAAGGCCGTGGATGAACCGCCGCGGTATGGCTTGCCCTTGTGGGGTGGGGACAGGGCGTGTTGGGTTGGGTGCATGCTTTGGGATGTTGACTCGGTCAACTCACAAGTCATGAAAGCGCATGCTGCAGGAGAGAAGGCCGTGGATGAACCGCTGCGGTATGGCTTGTTTCTTCCTTGCGGAGGGGGAATTGGAAACGGGAATGGGGGCAAGGGCGGAATGGAGATGGGGGGAGGGAGGAGTAGGGCCTTTATTTTTGTGTGTGTTAGTGCTTTTTTTTTTTTTTTTTTGCTAGGTACCGCCTATTTCTGTTCTTCCACCCCTTTTCTCAAGCAAGGGGCGCTGTTGAAACAAACATATTCTCAAAATTGTCATTGTCTGATGCACATCGATCTGCACGTTTGTTTGGTACCGTTTATTCCCATGCTTCCTCCCCATGTCTCGACTGCTTAACAGGAAGTTCCTTTGAAGTTGCCTCAAAAGTCACATTCTCTTTGGTATTTCTTCGTCTTGCCATCTGTCTGCCGATTCTCATCCTTCCTCAAGCACCTTTCCGATTCCTTCACGCTGCTTTTATATCTGCCTGTTTCTCCCTTTCTTTATACCTGCTTTTCTGTTCTCTGCCTCTTCTCCCGCCCTCCAGCCCTCCGTCCACAACGCTGCCTGCCAGCTACAGTGCAGACTTCTTTCAGCGCGGTCGTGAATACGCGGAGAAGCTTAAAAGGGGTACGTGTCCCGGGACTGCATTGCACTCCGCCATCCTTGGCAATCCTCTTTGTCGTCTTGGCTTCCTTGCTCCAAGTCTCTTCCTCGCCCATTTTTTCCAAACCACCACCACTACCCACCTCTCTCCACCACTACCCACCTCTCTCCACCACATCCCTCCACCACTCCAAGTCTCTTCCTCGCCCATTAGCATGTCTCAAAACACAAGTGCTGGACACAATCGCACTCGTGACTCGTGCCCCCATGAGTGCCGGACTCAATCAGACTCATGACTCGTGCCCCCATGAGTGCTGGACACAATCGCACTCGTGACTCTTGCCCCCATGAGTGCTTGATACAATCACACTCGTGACTCGTGTCCCCATGAGTGCTGGACACAATCACACTCGTGACTCGTGCCCCCATGAGTGCCGGACTCAATCAGACTCATGACTCGTGCCCCCATGAGTGCTGGACACAATCACACTCGTGACTCGTGCCCCCATGAGTGCCGGACTCAATCACACTCGTGACTCGTGTCCCCATGAGTGCTGGACACAATCACACTCGTGACTCGTGTCCCCATGAGTGCTGGACACAATCACACTCGTGACTCGTGTCCCCATGAGTGCTGGACACAATCACACTCGTGACTCGTGTCCCCATGAGTGCTGGACACAATCACACTCGTGACTCGTGTCCCCATGAGTGCTGGACACAATCGCACTCGTGACTCGTGCCCCCATGAGTGCTGGACACAGTCACACTCGTGACTCGTGCCCCCATGCTTCCGCCTCCCACTCACCCCATCGTCCCTGATGTTTTTCCTTGCTGTGTCAAGCTGCAACACGTTCACTCCTTGTCCCCTTTCTTGCCCCGCCCCTTGCCCCTCCCCTTGTCCCCTTTCTTGCCCCGCCCCTTGCCCCTCCCCTTGGCCCCTGCTCCAGACAACCCCGACATGTTTCGAGACTCGAGAGGGGGAGGCCGTGGGGGCAGGGGAGGCGGAGGGGGAAGAGGAGGGGGAGGGGGGTACGGTGGGGGGGATCCGTATCAGCAGGGAGATGGGGGCGGAGGGGGGTATGGGGGTGGGGGTGGGTATGGGGGTGGAGGCGGTGGGGGGAGAGGGGGAGGGGAGAGGCGGCAGGCAGCAACGGATGATCTTATATTGGAGCGGTTTAGGAAGCGGGAGAGAAACCGAGTCATGCGCCGGTAGTGCTGCTTGTGATGCTGGTGCTTCAAGGGTGGGGTGGGTGGGTACAGTGGTGTAGGTACAGTGGTGGTGGGGACAGGAGCAGCAGGCAGAAACGGATGATCTTGTGTGGGGGAGGTTCAGGAAGCGGGAGAAGATCCTAGTCATGCGCCAATAGCATGTGCTTGCTCGCCCTTCTGCTGCTGCTGCTGCCAGTGGTGCTAGTGTTTCTCGGTGCCGCCAGCGCTTTGAGTGCCGCCGCTGCTGCTGGTGCTACCAGCGAAATGATCCGATTTGTGACCCAGTCGCAGCACAGTTGTGAGACGTCTCGGAAAAGGAACTTCATTAATGCCTCACGGCATGGCACTACGCAATGCAGTTGCCCTGATCCTCTTCCATCAATGATGCCTAGGCCTCTTGTCCATTTGTGAAGCACCTTGTGCCAGTTTGACGCGTGAGTTCCACTGCAGGGGCCGCTTGCCGCATAGTGAACGGTATGGCAGCAGCAGTACTGAGCACTGATCGGTATTTTGTATGTACATATTCTATGGTGACTACAGTGACTGTATTCCGTCACACAACCTAACACCCCCAAGTCTCAAGCCAATCACTCGTGCCTTGCTTATCCTGATCCTCGAACCCAGTCCCACACACCCCAAACCAAGTGTAGTGGTATGTATCCCAAACTTTTCAAGAAATTCTGTGAAAGAAAGCAATTTTCCCTCCCTACGCTGCTTGACAATTCGACACCACACTGTGCTCAATTCTAATCTGAGTCACGTACGACAAGCCGTGCAGCAATATATGAAGTCTAAAAATCAGAATACATGTGTGACAATGAATGACAAGCATAGAAAGCAGAAAGTGGACAGTAAGAGGAGTGACAATATCGAGAGTGGAGGAGAAACCCCCCCAAGGCCCCCCTAAGGCCCCCCTACCCCCCAATCCTCCTCACAGACCCCCCTATCCCTGGCATGGCATGGCATGGTCTCCCCCTGTCCCTGGCATGGCCACAAAGCAACATGCGAGAGAGATGTTCCTACTTTTCTGTTACCTTGGTCTTCTTCTACTGTTCCTGTTTCTCTTTGTCACAAGACGGTTGGAACAGTAACCGGGCGGCAGGAGCAGTAACCGGGCTGCTGGAACAGTGACCGGGCTGCAGGAACAGTAACTGGGTGGCAGGAGCAGTAACCGGGCTGCTGGAACAGTAAATGGGCGGCAGGAGCAGTAACCGGGCGGCAGGAGCAGTACCCGGGGGCTGGGACAGTAACCAGGCTGCAGGAACAGGAACCAAGCTTGCAGGGGCCACAGCTAGCCCAAACCCACCCCGTGCCTAGCCCAAACCCACCCCGCAGCTCTTATTATCGACACACGCACACAAGTACAAACAAGAGCAAGGTTCATATCCCATTAAATATCCTACTTGTATGTATATGCCTCGTGTCTTGGCGGGGTGAGAAGGTATCTTCACGGCGCCCCACAGGAAGGAGAGAACGCCACCTGCGCAAGAGGATGGCAGGTGTGACGGCAGGGCGGGTGGTTTACAGCCATGGCAGAGGTTTAAGGTGCAGCAGAGGTGAGTGGAGAGGTGAGTGAGGTGAGAAGAAGAGAGCTCTCTGTTCCTGTCTCTGTTTCTCTCCCTTCCTCTCCATGTTTCTGTTTCTTCTCTCCATCTGTCTCTGTTTCTGATATTTCTCACTATCCGTCTCTGTTTCCGTTCCTCCCTCGGCCTCTCTCTCGCTCTCTGTCAAAAGAGCGGGGCAGCAATAGGAGCGAGCCCGAGGGGCCTCACCTTGCGGGCCTCAACAGGTCCACCCAGAGCGCTCCGGGTCTGCCCCAACCTTTCCGCGTCTGCCCCGACCGCTCCGGGTCTGCCCGAATCGAACCTGGCCCAAACCAGCTGGTTTGGACAAGTCCAGCCAAACCGCTCCGGGAAAGTCCTCCACGGGCCTGGCTCAAACCGAAGTTCACCCCCCGCCCACCTGGCCAGGACATGGCCACACTGGCACCAGCATATATGATTACAATAGCGTACAGCTCATTCTCCTACTGCAATTCATGATTTCTATCAGTCTACACGTCTCACGCAAACATCTTCATGGCAGCGCAGGAAAAAAAATGGCACCTGCGCAAACGGGTGGGGGAAAGGGGGATGAAGAGCAAGTGAGAGGGCGGAGCAGAGCACGTAAGAAGGAGAAGCAGAGCAAGTGAGGGGGAGGGGAGGGCAGAGCATGTGAGTGAGTGGAGCAGAGCATGTGAGTGAGTGGAGCAGAGCATGTGAGTGAGGAGCAGAGCATGTGAGTGAGTGGAGCAGAGCATGTGAGTGAGTGGGGGCAGAGCAAGAGAGTGAGTGAGGGAGGCAGAGCAAGTGAGTGAGTGAGGGGGGCAGAGCAAGTGAGCGAGAGAGGGGAGAAGAGCAAGTGAAATACGTGGGGGGAGCAGAGCATGTGAAGTGAGAGAGGGGAGCAGAGCAAGCGAGCAGGGAGGGCCGAGGGGTGAACGGAGAGAACAAGAGATGAGCAGAGGGGAGAAGAGGGGTGGTGAACAGAGGGAGGTGCGGGAGAGGGTGGGACAGGAGCTCGGTAACGGGGACAGAGAAGGGAATACGGAGGGCAGGGAGAAGGGAACAAGGAGGGCAGGGGGAAAGAGGAATGCGAAGGACGGGAAGAAAGGGATTAAGGAGGGCAGGGGGAAAGGGAATGAGGAGTGCAGCAGAGGAAGGTAATGAGGAGATCAGAGGAAGGGAATGAGGAGTGCAGAGGAAGGGAACGAGGAGTGCAGAGGAAGGGAACGAGGAGTGCAGAGGAAGGGAACGAGGAATGCAGAGGAAGGGAACGAGGAATGCAGAGGAAGGGAACGAAGCATGCGAATGAGGAAGGGAAGAATGAAGCATGCGAATGAGGTAGGGAAGAACGAAGCATGCGAATGAGGAAGGGAAGAACGAAGCATGCGAATGAGGAAGGGAAGAACGAAGCATGCGAATGAGGAAGGGAAGAACAAAGCATGCGAATGAGGAAGGGAAGAACGAAGCATGCGAATGAGGAAGGGAAGAAAGAGACATGAAAAAGTAGCCGTTTTTTCCCTCTCTTTCCGTCACTGTCTCACCGCGTGGCTGAGAGAGTTAGCCTTTGGCTTCCACGCGACACGCCGCCTGATTGGTGGAGAGGGTGCCGTCGCCTGCTGATGCGCGCCGATGCCTGCCGCCTTGCGCCTGGACCAAGGGGGTGGTGTGTGGCTGGGGGGGGTGGGCGGATGGACGAGCAGGCGAGCATGTGAGAAGAGGACGGGACAGAAACGGCTCATATGCTACACATGCACCACACAAACACACATACACTCTACAGAAGCAGCGGGACAGCACGACGGCACACCAAGACACTTACACATGCAGCATCAGGGCAGCTCCCGGGTTGGTGAGAGTGTAACCCTAGACAGGAACACTAGGGCTTGCTGCATGTGCTCCGCGCGTCCGCCTGCTACTCGCCGAGCCTGAGGGGGAAGAGAGGAGGTGGAGGCGGGGAAGGGAGGAGGTGGAGGCGGGGAAGGGAGTAACCAATAGTGGCAGGTCCTTGCGCATGGACCAAGTTGGTGGTGCATGGCTGGGGGTGGGCGAATGGACGACGCGTGGCGACGGGGGCACACGAGAGTAACACGAGACGGACGACATGGGTGACTAATTGTATGGCGGCGTGAGCTTCAACAGTACATCTCACCAACGCCGCGACGAGTGGAGCCCTTTTTTTATCCGCCCGAAAATCGACCTCCAACGCCGCGTCGCGTTCATACAAGCTGTAACGAAATGGCCGTGCGAGGCCATCGCGGATCGTCGCTGCACCACATCGCGCAACAACCTGCAAAAATGGCCTCAGAGAAAGAAACAAAGAAAGGAATAAAGTGAGTAAGTAAGTAAGCGGCTGCTAGCTAACTATGGCGCAAGCGGCGCCTGCTGCTAGCTAGCTACGGCGCAAGCGGCGCCTGCTGCTAGCTACGGCGCAAGCGGCGCCTGCTGCTAGCTACGGCGCAAGCGGCGCCTGCTGCTAGCTAGCTACGGCGCAAGCGGCGCCTGCTGCTAGCTAGCTATGGCGCAAGCGGCGAGTCAACCGCGGCGCCTGCTGCTAGCTAGCTACGGCGCAAGCGGCGCCTGCTGCCGTCGCGCTTCCGCGAGTCAACCGCGGTTTTTCGATTTAGTACCTGTGAAGCCATCAGTTAGGATTTCCGCGTTCGGTCGACGATGATGCAAACCGATACATGGTTGGGCTGAAAATCTAGGCAGGGGACCATACTACGATTGAAGGGACCATGTGTGGTTAGATTGTACATACGGTATGTGTGAGAGCATTTTTCACTGCATTCAGCTGGTTGTCGTCTTGTTTTTCAATGTGCGAATGGAATTGTTTTAAGCAGTAGAGCACTATGCTAGCTTTCCAACGAGCCGTAGATCACCTAGATCGCCTAAGTATCGAGCGAGATATCGCCGTTTATGTGCTAGGTAGTGCTCTTAGATTGAAGGATAGGAGCTCTCTGGAATTTGTGTTAGAATGTACCTTGTGTCAAATGTTGTAGCCTGTAGTGAGGTTTGTCTTAGGGGGTACAGAAGTTAGGGTTTGTTATATGTACCCCAACCAACATCAATGGCATCATCATTCCTCATTTTGACATGGTATCAGCTAGGTTAGGATCCTGTGGGATCCCGTTCCTCCGTTATCCGTTCGTCCCTCCCGAGCCTGATCCTACCTCTCGTTCGTACCGGTTCCGTTGTTACCGCGCCTAGTACCGAGCCTAGCGCCCTCTCCCCCGTCGCTTAGCGCCCTTTCTCCCCGTCGCCTAGCGCCCTTTCCCCCCCCCCCCCCCGTCGCGTCGCGCCCTTTCCCCCCGTCGCCTAGCGCTCTTTCCCCCCGTCGCGTCGCGCCCGTTCCCCCCGTCACGTCGTGCCCGCCCTTTCCCCCCCGTCCCGTCGCCCTGTCCCGTCGCGTCGCCCTGCCCCGTCCCGTCGCCCTGCCCCGTCGCGTCGCCCTGCCCCGTCCCGTCACCCTGCCCCGTCGCGTCGCCCTGCCCCGTCGCGTCGCCCTGCCCCGTCCCGTCACCCTGCCCCATCGCGCCGCCCTGCCCCGTCGCGTCGCCCTGTCCCGTCCCTACGCCCTGGCCCGTCGCCCTACCCTACGCCCTGGCCCGTCGCCCTACCCTACGCCCTGGCCCGTCGCCCTACCCTACGCCCTGGCCCGTCGCCCTACCCTACGCCCTGGCCCGTCGCCCTACCCTACGCCCTGGCCCGTCGCCCTACCCTACGCCCTGGCCCGTCGCCCTACCCTACGCCCTAGCCCGTCGCCCTACCCTACGCCCTGGCCCGTCGCCCTAGCCCGCTCTTCCGCTGCGACTGAGTCCCCTTCCCACCTGAACCCTAATTTGCCTCTTCTCCCCGGTTGTTACTCGCCTGTTCGTTCGCGTTAGTTCTCACTATGGCGACTCCGCGAGTTCTTCGTTTCGACGCTGACGGTAGACCACTTGACTTTTCCGTCTGGCTTCTTCGCGCTCGCCGTCTGTTAGAGAGTCAGGTCCAGGGGGGCGAGACCCTCTGGTCGCACGCTACTGGTGACCTCCCCGAGCCCCCCGAGCCTACAGCTTTAGGCTCTGCCCCTGACGACGCTGCTACAGCTCGCTTTGCCCGTCAGCGCGCTGACCGGACGGCTTGGACGTCGCGTGACGCTGCGGCCTGCATCGCACTCAGCAGCCTCCTCCCTGAGTCAGAGGAGGTCCACTTTACTCAGGTTCGCACCGCTGCTGCGTACCTCACTGCGATTAAGGCCCGCTACTCTACTCCCGCTACTGTCTCTCTTGGCCGTCTTTTCCTCCCGTTCCTGTTTCCTGATCTCGCCTCGTTTGAGCGCTCTGCTGACTTGATCGCTCACCTCCGCTCGCTCGACGCTAGTTACCGCGCTGCTTGCACTGAGGCACAACTTGCACTGCTTCCTCCCCCCATGGCGATTACTGTCTATTTCATCGCCACTAGCCTCCCTGACCGCCTAGCCTCCGTTCGTGACGCGCTTCTGCTGAAGCACCCTAGTGAGGTGACTATCGAGGTCCTTGAGTCTGCACTCAAGGACGTCGAGAGCAACCTTCGCTCGGTAGCTGCCGCCTCTGGTACTGTGTCCCCCCCACTCTTCCACGGGTGCACAGTCCCGCAGTTACCCACCTTCACTGCCTCTCTCGCCACTGCCGCTACTGACGCGACTGCGGCTGCTGTTACGACTGCGTCGCGGTCCCGCGGCAAGGGGGGCAAGAAAGGTAGTTCTGGTGGAGGTGGAGGTGGAGGTAGCGGAGGTAGTGGGGGTGCTGTTGCGACTGGCGGTGGTGGGAGTGCAGCGGTTGGAGAGACCCCTCGTGCAGCGGCTGGTGACTCCACTGCGCCTGCTGGTGGCGGCGACCCCCGAGCTCGTCAGTCGCCTCCTGTACTGCCGACCCCGCTAGGTGGAGCAGCGGCGTGGTACCAGGCTCAGCGTCAGCAGCACCTTCAGCAGCAGCAGCAGCCCCTTTCCTCCCGCCAGCCTCAGCAGCAGCAGCGTCAGCAGCTGGCTCCGGGGTCGGGGCTGCGTCAGCCCCAGCGCGGTGCTTCTTACCCTCCCTGCACCTATCAGGTTCTGACAGGTCCTCGTCGGGGCCACCCTTGTGGCCGCTTTCACCCCCCTGGTCAGTGCTTTGCTCAGCTCAATGACACGGTCCGGTTGGCCTACGGGGTTGGCGGTCCTGCTCTTGACTGGCTTCCTCTGGTTCAGCGCTACGGCTCCGCTCTGTGGGGCATGTCTGCTGAGCAGTTAGTTGATCTGATTGGTGCTCCTCATGCTATGTATGCTGTTGTTGACTCTAGTGTTTCTGACTCTGTTTACTCTGGTGTTGTTAGCTTAGGTGCTAGTCTTGCTCAGTTGCCTGTTGCTAGTGTAGGTTCTTGTGTAGACTCTAGACCAGCGACTACCTCAGAGGACGCTTCGCTGTCGTTCACGCTGGACTCTGGAGCCTCACACTGCTTCTTCCGGGACAGCACGACACTTACACCACTTCCTGCGCCTGTTTCTGTGGCTTTGGCTGATCCCACTACGGGACCAGTCACTGCACGTCACACTACCACTTTACCGTGTCCTGCTGCTCCCTCCGGGTCTCTCACTGGGTTTCACGTCCCCTCGTTCTCCCGGAACTTGGTGGGCGTGCGACCCCTCGTGAGTCAGCACGTGGGTGTGTGGTTTGAGCCTTCTGGAGAGACTGCGGTGTGTGTTGATGGAGACTCTTACCAGCCTCTTGCTACCTTTACTGCTGAGCCGGGCTCAGGTCTCTACACTCTTCACACTGGCCCGCGTGCGCCGCAGCAGTAGCCGCAGCAGCAGCAGCAGCCGCAGCAGCAGCAGCAGCCGCAGCCGCAGCAGCAGCAGCAGCAGCTGCACCAGCGGTCGCACCAGCAGCCGCCCCTACTGCCACTGCCCCCGGTTCCCCCCCCCGTTCGGGTCCCCGCGTCTCACCAGGTTGCTTCGTCCCCCCAGGTGTCTGTGTCGTGTCAGGTTCCTACGTCTGCTCCAGTCGCTGCGTCGTGCTCCTGCCGGTCGCTTGCCCACCCCACCGTTCTGTGGCACCACCGGATGGGGCACCCGTCCCTTCCTCGTCTGCGCGCTATGTCTAGTCAGCGTCCTGTCCTAGGCCTCCCACGTGTCTTGTCGTCGCTGCCGCCTTCGCTTGCGCCGCCGTGTCGTCCCTGCGTCGAGGGTCGGCTGCGCGCCGCCCCTCACTCCTCCTCCCTTCGTCCGGCCACCGAGCCTTTTGAGACGCTTCACTTGGACGTCTGGGGCCCCGCCCCTCGTCTAGGCCCTGAGCGTGAGCGCTACTTTCTGGTGGTCGTTGACGACTTCTCCCGCTACACCACAGTGTTCCCTCTGGCGAAGAAGTCTGAGGTGACTTCTACGCTGATCAGGTGGTTGCTCACCACCGAGGACACTCGTGGTCGTCGTGTCAGCTGCCTCCACTCCGACCGTGGGGGTGAGTTTCGCTCCGGCATTCTCGCTGGATTCTGTCGCGAGCAGG